AACAATATATAGGAAGGGATTTTTCAATAAATATTCTTCCCTGCCTTTTAACCCCTGATTTATTTCCTATGTATATATCTGTTCTGTTTCCCAGCCCCCACACACATTTTTTCAAACAACAAAGGGTTTATACTCTACATGATTTTCCATCATGCTATTTTTTTAATTTAACAGTATATATCTTGAGCCTCTTTCCATGTATACACCTGTAGACATGTATGACCAGTGAGTATTTTAAAAGGATATTTGATGAAAGGTTTTAATATGAAATAGAAACATTTATATTATGAATGCCACAGATTTTATAAAATCTTGTATTTGATATTTTTCGTGTGTTTGAATCTTAGGAAGTAAATTTTGCTGAATATTGTGAAGAAAAATCTATGGCAGTGTCAAACTAGGAGGCTAGTTATTTTGATTTTTTTTTTGTTATAATGATTGATTCATGAGCCTGTAGAGGTAGGCAGAGTCAAAGGCTGTGTTGAGGATTTTGTTCTTTATTTGAAAAGCAATAGGAAGCTTTTCAATGAAGAGTTGTAAGCACAATAGTGATATTAGAAAAAGAGAATTTGGATTTGGAGGCGCAAGAGGCAGGAAATTACTTAAGTGAGTATTGAAGTAGTCAGCTTCAGGATAATGATGGCTTGGACTTGTGTGAAAAATTGGGAAGGAGAGAAATTGTCAATTTGAGAAAGAAATGAAGAGACTTCATGGTTGGATATGGTAGGTGAGGGAAAGGGAAGAATCAAAGATGACCCCAGAATTTTTTGCTTAAGTTGCTGGGTGTTAATGGTGCTAAACTGACTTTTGCTATTGTTAGGGGTAGGACTGGGTGGATCATTAGTTCACTTTTGGATATCTTGAATTCTAGGTACTTAAGAGCCATGGAGTTGGAGATGTAGAATAAATAGTTGGGTATGTTGGTATACAGTTCAGAAGAGACTGGATTGAGCCTACTTTGTATCAACCACCATTTTGATGCTAAAGGTACAACAGGGAACAGGGTAGATGGAGTTCCTACTTTCATGGAGCTTATATTCCAGCTAGGGAGACAGACAAGAAACATGCAGATGTGATGTAATGTCAGGCAATAGTAAGTGCAATGAATTAAAGTGTGGGTAGGGGGTAGTGACAAGGGCTGCTATTTTAGGTAGGATAGATAATTAGGCAAATCTTCTCTGAAGATAAGACATTGAAGCAGATACATATGACTTTTTAGTTTGAGAGTGGCTGTGGGTGAAATTGCCTGAGAAAACTTAACTAAAGATGAATGAGTAGATGAACTCTAGGATCCTTTTTTTTTAACCATGTTCCATTATCCTGAATAGGATCCTTTTTTCTTCTGTGTTAAGTATATACCTATCTGAAAATTAGTTTGAATCTTCAGAATAGGCTTTCAGTCCAGTGAATAGAAATTGTTTGGGTTTTGTTTGTTTTTGATTTAAACCCTTGCTATTAAAATTTTTCTTCAAAGTTAATTTTTTTAACAAAATAATGACAGCTTCCAGTGATTTTTAAGCCATATAGACTTGGCTACATTATTTTTAATTGCTGAAAGAAGTAAGTGTCATTGGCAGGGCTTGCTAAGACTTATCATGGCACTTTTAATAGCCATTTTGTCGTACACATTTTTGAATACTAAAAGCACTTCTATAACACATAAACTGTAGTATGTATTTAAAAATTTAAATGACCAGTTATCTAGACTAGTGTCTGAGGGAATTATTTTGCTAAGCTATGTGCTCATGGTATCTTCAGTATTGGAGGAATGGTTTGGTGTAATATTTATTAACTTGTTTGCAGGTTATCAAAATAGTTTATAGCTGTAAGATACTCTTAATGTTATACATTAAGGTACTCATAATATTCGTTTTTTTGTACATCAACCCTGTTTTTCCAGGAGGCATCTGGGAAATAATCAGTTCTTAATATACTTACGTATAAATAAATAATCACTTCTCATATCTCAAAATTAGCTCCTAAAAGGTCATATTACGCAGTCACTATGTAGTGTATGGTATATTACACAATTGATTCGTTTTTGCTATTCTTGCCATTGTCAGATTTGGCAAGCTTGTCTTAATATATTTTCATCCAAGTTTCTTTTAAAATATTTTAAAAATAATAATTGTTATTTGTTCAGTGCTTACTATGTTCTAAGCACCTTGCGTATAGTAGCTCATTTATTCCACAGCCCTGTGACACTATTATTATCCTCATTTTATGGATGAGGAAACCAAGGAATAGAGAGGTTAAGTAATTTGCCCAAGATGTTTCCCAGTAGTTAGAGGCACAGCCAAGTATTAAATCCTGGTTCCCTGGCTCTTAATCAATACTCTGTTCTTAAATAAGACAGAGTCCATTGCCCTCTAGATTAGCCCTTACACTTTGGTGTGATTATTAATCCTGTTATGAATCCATCTAAGTGGTTTTTGTGCTGAAAAAAAAGGGAGGTGACTTATAGAGCAATTCAATTTTGCCCAAGTGTATTTATTTTTGTTTCAAATTTATAAGTGCTTTTGTTATGAAATACAACACAGAAAAGAGCATAAAACAGATATATAGCTTTATTAATTATAATAATAATTCATAACCACCACCTAGGTAAAAATAAAAACAGAACATTGTCAGCGCCTCAGAAACTCCCTGCTTGTTCCTTTTCTTTAACATTATTATATGTAAGCATGCAAACTCAAACACTATAATTTTGCTTCTTTTTGAACTTTAAATAAATGGAAACACACAGTATGTACTCTTTTGTGGCTGACTTCTTTTGTTCACTATTATTTATTTTTTTAATCATCTGTTTGACAAATCTGGAAGTAGGTAGTTCAGAAGTTCATAATGTCAAGGCTCTTGTCAGTTTCTTAAAAAAATTTTTTTGTTTGGCTTTTCCTATGTGGTTGCAAAAAGGCTGCCACGGCTCCAGACCTCATGTTTTCACACAGTCATATCCCAAGAGAGGAAGCAGGAGGCACTTATAGCCGTGGAGGAACTCACCTTTTCATACTCCCCCTCTTTTCCTTATCAGATTGAATGATATAATTAACAGACCGAGTTTTTTTTGTTTTTTTTTAATAATTTATTTAATTTTTATTTTTAACTCACAACCTCGGCATTATAAAAGACCCAGTTTGTTGTCCGTAAATTATCCAACTTTGGGAGTATTTAATGAAATGCATTTTAAGTTGTTGGCACAGTGTCAGACAATGCATGCTCTCAGTAAATATTGGTAACTAAAAAAAATAGGCCGGGCGCGGTGGCTCATGCCTGTAATCCTAGCTCTCTCGGAGGCCGAGGCGGGCGGATTGTTTGAGCTCAGGAGTTCGAAACCAGCCTGAGCAAGAGCGAGACCCCGTCTCTACTAAAATTAGAAAGAAATTAATTGGACAACTAAAAACATATAGAAAAAATTAGCCGGGCATGGTGGCACATGCCTGTAGTCCCAGCTACTCGGGAGGCTGAGGTAGGAGGATCACTTGAGCCCAGGAGTTTGAGGTTGCTGTGAGCTAGGATGACGCCACGACACTCACTCTAGCCCGGGCAACACAGTGAGACTCTGTCTCAAAAAAAAAAAATAAAATAACTATTCACAGATCCTTCAAATTATTTTTGTGATTATTAATCATACCTTTTCATACTTTAAAGTTCTTCTGACATGATATATAGTTCTTTGATCCATTTTTGTATCTTATATGTACGCCTTTATTTAAGCTGTTCACTTTATCTGTCTCAGAGAGTTCACTGGTCAAAGTATAAAATTCCAGATTTAATGAATACTGCCGAGATTGCTAGAAGAGGAAATGAGTGTTTTTCAGAGTGCTTTAGCTTTATTTTGACCTATCAAGACTTTTTACTTGTTTAGTAATCTAAAAGAAACGTTGGCTGCTCTGCCTCTTTTATGTATGAGGAAACTGAGTCCCAGAATATTTGAAAGACACTGCCAAGGTAACACCGAGTCATGACTAGAATATTGGTTTTTTTTCTCATGAGCCAGGAATTTCTCTCTTTTATCATGAAGTCCTATTTGTAGCTGAAAAATTAATTGTGTAGTTCTGTGCATAGTGGACACTGGGTGAATTCTGTTGTCTAACATGCAATTCAAGTGAAATGTCTGCAGGTGGAGATCTGGAGTATGTCACTCAGGAAGTCACATCCATCAGCAGCCTGGTTGGCTGTGGAAGCCAGTATTTGGGCAATGTTCTATTTTTGTGCTTTTGCATAAAGTAAAGACCTTCATTCCATTCTCGCTGAAGTTCTATGACATTGCTTGCTCAGTGAAACTATTCAAGAGATCAGAAATCAGTGAAATAGGATTTTGACAGGATGATGGTCTCTTGTGGTATTATAAATTCATAATACATGTACATTTAGTTTGCATAGCCAGAAATTATCTAGCAGTATTCTGGTCTGTCTGCTTTATTTCCAGTATTACAAAATGATAAAACTAAATTAGTGGTCTTTTGAACTTGCCCTTGGAGAAATACGCTATGACTATAGCATTGTTTATTCATATAAAACAAAATATTTCTATTAAAAAAGTATAATAAAGACAAATATATGATATTTTCTCCACAATATTCTGATATTTTGGGCTCACTGTGAACACTAAGAAGCGCAAGAAACATCTAATTTCCACATTTGCAATATAGATACCTATATCCTGTATGCTTTTGGGAGGACATGACTCTTTAGCAGAATGTTTCCATTTGAGTATTACATGAAAGCATGTTGGTTAGTGCTTAAGAAGTTGAGACTGGGGCTAGCTTTTGGCAGTTGTGCTCTGATATTGTGTATTCTGATATGTGAGTTAATATGAAAATAAAAGATTCCAAAATGCACTTGTATTAACTCTGAAATGTTTATATTCTCTATTTTAATTTTTTATGCAGGTTTGCTATTAGAAAGATAATGCTGTTGGAATTTAGGTGAGTTAAAAGTCATTACTTCAATGAAGATGAAAATGTGATTTAATTTTTAGCTAAATTTTCTATATATTTCTGTGAGTAGTTAAAATTTTAATAATTCTGAATTCATGAAGATTTATATTTTTGTGGTTGACTTATTTTGGAATATGTGTATGATAGTCTTTGTTTTCAGAGATGAAGCTCCATTGTCAGAATAACTTGTATTTATATTTGTTTCTTACTAGTTAAGATAGTGTGCACTGTGTCTGAACTCTTATCTGGTTTTAATAGTGATCAGTGGGAATAAATTGGAGTGCATTCTATAGCCAATTGTTTTTCCTGCCAGGCTAAAATGTTACTATCAAGGTAGCATTGTTCCCACCTACCCACTTGTAACATAAATATTTCAGACTAAAGAGAGTGTACAGTTTTTAGATTATGAAGGTAGATTAGATTATATTACAAAGTGTGGCCATTATGACGAAAATAAAAGCCAGGATTGTTGTTGATGGTAGTAATATTTACTGTTTGTTGAACAGAACACTTGCTTGTGCTACACATAGTGTTAAACATTTTATATACAGAGCACTCACAGCAATCCGGTGAAGTAAGTATTATCTTCTCCATTTACTGAAAAAAGAAGCTGAGATCAGGGAGGTTAAGTAAGTTGTTCAAGATAATGCAGTTAAGTAATTGGCAGAGCTGGGATGCCAATATCTGATGCCAAAGCTCATGGTTTTTCGGCTTCTCTATACTTGCTTGAGATCTGGTCTGCATCAGAAGTCAGAGCCTCTATATTAATAACTGTTTCTCCCTACATAAACTGATTTGATCCTTACCCCTCCCCCACCAAAAAAAAAAAGCATGGAGTAGATGAAGAGGGTCTTACCATTTTTATAGAGCAAAATTGATATTTATAGTTATGAATTAGCTAGTAAATTGAGTGTCTCCTGTATCCTAAGACTATATTATTCTAACATTTAATCCTCACAGTAACACCAGTAAGATCTTATTTTATAGAGGAGAAAACTGAGGCTAGAAATTGGACCCATCTGGGCCATTAGATGAATATGGCTTTTCTACCATATCATGTCTCCTTTCAAGAAGACAGATAAAAATCAAGAGGATAGTGATATGCAATTAGAATTAACCAGAATTCTAGAGTCCAGAAACCAGGAGAATTGCGGGAGCTGAAGTAGAAAGCAACAAAACAGATCAAAAGCATCAATGACAATGAAAGATTTTTAATAACTGAAAAAGTGGGTTGTTAACTTTCAGGAACTTTTATGTAATTTTTATACAAGAATGTAATCTTCTCTGGGTCAACTTCCAGACATAAACAGTCTAAAGTTTGTAGTAGAGAGTAATTGATTGTCTTTTGCTAGAGTGAAAAATGAGATGTCATGGAGAAGGTAGCTGGGTACAGGAAAGTGAACTGAGAAAGAAAAGGGTTTTTGTTGGTGAAAGTTGTTGGAATGAGGTATTATAATATATCAATTACATTTGCTGCAATTGCTGAAATAGAATCAGGGAGTTATTAAACTAATCCTTAAGTTTGGAGAACAGAGATGTACTTTGAAGTAAGAACTATACCTGTATCGTAGGCAAATCATTGATCTCATTGCCTCAATTTCCTCATCTAAAAAAATGTAAAGAATAGATTTGGAGTTTGTTGTGTAGTCAGATAACACCCAAGACAAGACGTTGCTATTAAAAGCTGTAGCAAGCCAATGATATCCTAGGGCATCTGACAAAAACAAATATAAGGATACTCTGGAAGGATGTGTATTTCAACTATACTGCAAAAAATTTCTATATATAAAACTCTGATAAAGGTGAGTTCACGCTCCCAAATACAGAGCATATTAGGATAATAATCCAGTGCAAGTAAGAGTGAATAACAAAGAACAGAATTAGATTCACCGCCCCCGCCAAGAACTTCAGATAATTAAATAATTGATACACACTGTTAAATCATCATGTTTAAAATTATTAAGGGTATTAAAGAAGAAATAGAATGTGTGAGCAAGAAACACACTAAATTTGGACAGACTTGGAAAAATGGAAATAAAAAATCATTGACATTTAAAACTTCCAGTGGGCAAATTAAATAACAGGTTAGACATAGCTAAAGAGGGAAATAGTGAACTAGAAGATAGATCCAGGAAATTAACTAGAAAGTAGCAAAGAGAAGTAAAGAGGAAAAATATGAAAGGAAAATAAGAGGTATGAAGGCTAGAAAGAGAAGGTACTATAGAAGTTTCAGAAGAGATTTAGAGAGAATGGGGGAGTGGCAGTTTAGAAAAGATGATTGTGAAGAATTTTCTAGCATTGGTGAAAAACATGAGTCTTTTAGATTCTAGAGGTACTACAATAAATCCTGAACAGAGCAACAAAGACAGAATGAAGATCTTAAAATCTGCTGAAGGGAAAAGACAGATTACTCAAAAAGGAGGAAGGACAAATCGATTGATTGTAGACTTTTCAATTATAATAATAGAGAAGATAATGGAATAAGACATTTCATTCCATTATCTTAAATAGAAAAAAAATCACTTTCAACCTAGAATTATATACCCAGGTAAACTGTCATGAAATAAATGTTAGGCAAAGATAAACATTAACTATTGCTGACAGAAGTTCTAAAGGATATAATTCAGAAAAAAGGAAAAGAATGCAATGAAGCTTCACTTATTTTATTTGTGAAATAGCACTCTAATCTTTCACTTGGATCCTTTTGATCATTATTTTTGGTAAAATCTTACCCAGTTTCCTAGGTTGTTGCAAATTAAGCAAAAAGGGTTGCTGAAGGTAAACTCATGGAACCCTTGAAGCATAAGAGAAAGTAGAAAAACTGTAGTACTATAGCAGAATCTAAAATACTTAACAGTGTGCGTGTGTGTGTGAAAAATTGTACACATTTCGCGATTTAAAGCAGAAGCAAGAAGTCCTGATTTTTTCTATTAGTGTCTGAGAGTGTTTTATAGCCCAGTGTCACAGTTAATGTTTATAACTATCTTGAGTGGTAACAAATGGCTACGTGTTATTTGAGATATTAGAAATACTTAAATTTGTGTAGGAATATTTCCACCAAGGTCTTAAAATAAGAATTATGGCATGTAGAGGGGAAAATTTCAGTTACCTTGAAAACTGATGTATGTCGAATACCTCGTAAATTAAATATTACAAAGCCTCTTTTTAATTGTTAATTCTCTTCCTTTTTTCTGAAAGTGATTTCAGGTCTTGATATGAGTAAGGGTTAATGTCTTAGATACTTTTGTCAGTAAGAGTGCCCATCATATAATTTTGTTTTAGAGCTGATAATTTGTCAGGTATTTTTGTTTTTTAACTTCATGAAGAGGCTTAGATAAGGGAATATCCAGTGGTCTGATGGTGATAAGTATGCATGTTGTAACCTTGGATGTCTTATTACTTGAAAGTATAAAACTGTCATTCTCCAAGGCCAAATTTTCTACATATAAGTTTGTAGCAGGTAGCCCTGACCTAGATTACCGATAAATTTGTGAAGGATTCTCAAATCATAAATACAGATTTTCAAAATGTTTTCAGAAAGTTATAAATAATACAGCTTTCCAGGTGAGTGATATATTCCAATGAGTCCTGGTAACTAATGAAATATTCTATGACTTTTTACTCTTTACAGCCAGTATCTTGAAAATTACCTCTGGATGAATTATTCTCCAGAGGTGTCCAGCAAGGCCTATTTAATGTCAATCTGCTGTATGGTGAATGAGAAGTTCAGAGAAAATGTCCCTGCATGGGAGGTAACAGATTTAAATTACTTTATAGCTTTCATACTGTGCCCACTTAAGTCATTACAAAGGAGCAGAACTTTTTATTGGTATGATAATAAATACTACTTTTAGAGTAGAACTTTACCCAATATTAAAGTAAATATTGAGAAAAAGAATGGATGTGTGAAAGATTAGTTTCAGTTTCAAAACTTTCTTCAAACTAATTTACTATGAATTGAAAAATTGCAAATGTGGAATTATTTTTCTGCTTTGTGCTTAAAACAAAGAATGGCATGTATCATAAAGACTTACATCAGGAGCTGGCAAAGAGAAAGTTATAAAGTGCAAATAGATAATGTACAAATGAGATAATATTTTTCAGTGTCTTTTTTCACAACAGGGGGTATATACTTGTTAGAATAAAGAAGCGTTTCCAAAGTCAAGACGGATGTTTACATTGTAATTTCAATTTTCTTCTTGTCCCTGATTTGGAATCTGTTTTTCCTTTTTGAAATTTTTTATGAACTGATGATTTCTTTTTGTGCTGGTGCAACAGAGGCTTGATCAGTGGCAGTCCAAAATTCAGGTTTTGTTTGCCCACTGTAAAATGGTTACCTTACCAAAAGAGTTTCTTCTCTTCTAGTCAGAGTTTTTAAATGAAGAAAACGCATGAATTCTTTTCATCTCTTTTGAGAGAATGGTGTCCAAAGTGAGAAGGTGTTAGAGTCTTTAAGATAAAACCATGACAGTTCTCTCAAATATTCATTGACTGCCATCTCGGGGCACATTAGAGCTGAAAGCAAACTATGAGTCTTATGTCTTACTGAGAGATCTGAGATATTGCTTGAAGTTGCCTTAAGCTGTTAGAGAAAGGAAGAGGGAAAATTTTTTGAGCCAGGGAATAACTTGATCAGTTTGCATGTTTTAAAGATCACTTTAGTGATTAGGGCTTGAAATACAGAAGTGACAACACAGATTTTGAAGGTAAACACAGATTTAGAAAGAGTAATTGATTAGATTTGATAATTAATTGAAGTAGCATTAGAAAAGATTTTGTTTTCAGTAACTTTCTAGTCTTAGGTGACTGAGTATAATAGGTGATGGTACCATTTACCAAGATAGGTAATAGAGGATAAAGGAATACTTTGGAGGATACAAAACTACTGAGTTGAGTTTTAGACATATTTAGTTTAAACTGCTTTTGGAATACCTAGATGAAATTGTCTAATAAACCGAGGAATGTAAGGTTATAGAACTAAAAAGAGAAATCTGGACTGAAGACGTGTATTTGGAATCATTAGCATGTGGTAGTTAAAGTAATGGAGGTGGAGGAGAATAAGGCTAGAACCCAAGGAACACTGCCATTTAAGTAACAAAAAAGAAGAGGAGCCTTTGATACAGTGAAAAGGAGTTGAGGGTTAATAAGGGTCCATTGGACTTGACAGCCACAACAGCTTCAGGGGAGTGGTGTCGGTGGATGCTTGTTTTAGAGGAGTGAATGAAAACAACTAGTATAGACCACACATTTGGAGTACTTGTCCAGGGCAGTAACTACAAGGGGAGGTACATCAAAGAGGCTTGAGTATATTTACCTTGTATATTTACATTATACTTACATGTTAAGAGTGACGAGCTAATATAAAGCAGGAGAGGCTGTCTTGACATTAATTACAGTGTGAAAAACAATAATTTTTGCAAAAGATATAGTTTCTTTTGTCTAAATCAGAATGAAAACACTTGAGATCTTTAATAAGAAAACAAAACCTAAGCTAAATATAATCTTAATCTGCAGAAGAAAAACTAAAGGTATTAAGGCCTTTATTTTATTAGCTAAAGGTTTATGCAACTCTCTGTGTCCTGTCAGAAACCTATATTCGACTTGCTACCATTAATTATAAGCAAGCATGTGATGCTTCTTATACACATACAAATAATCTTTTTGTAATTGTTTGGTTTTGTTAATAGACTCCTAAACAGCCTACCAGTGCTTCTTTAAGGGAGAAAAACAGGTGAGCAAGCCAATTCAAAATGAATTTATACTGTTTTCTTTTCAGACTTTCAAGAAGAAGCCAGACCACTTCCCATTCTTTTTTAAGCACATCTTGAAAGCGGCATTAGCTGAAACTGATGGTGAATTTTCACTCCATGAACAGACAGTCCTACTACTTTTTCTTGATCATTGCTTCAATAGTTTGGTAATTTTTATATTTTGGGGGAATTTTCAAGTTTTCTTATTTTTTTTTTTAGGTTGAGTTTAGATAAGATTACCTCTGTAGCCAAATCTTCATCCATAGTAGCAGGGAATAAGACTAATGGTAAAAGCTTAATTTCAGCCTCTTAACAATAAACCATTTTGTATGATATGTTCACTTTTTAATAGATTTGGGCTTGATGTCTCCTTTTTTCTGTTGACTCTAAGAAAAATGATAATGAGAATTGAAACTACGAAGGGAGAGCACAAAAATGAGAAGCAGCAAAGAGCCTGGTTAATAGGAAGTTTGAGTAAGGAGATCTGTGCTATAAGCTGCGTATAAAAATACAGTTTCATTGCTTTCCAGTTATGCTTCATGCATAGGCTGGCTAGTCAGCAGGAGAGTTGTATTTTTAGTTGACTGATTAAGGCTGATCATGGATGATCTTCGAAAATGTGTTGTATGGGATACATTTTCATGCTTCATAGGATTATCTTCTAAAAAATATTTTCAGTAATTAATATTTTATTTGAGCTTCCCTACTGTGGTTATCTGAAGATACATGCATATTTATTCAAAGATAAGTGCTTCAGAATTGATAATGCACTTAGACCCATGCATGAGAATGAAAGGAATTCTTTCTTATCCTGAAGACTGAATGTTTATAGATAGATGGTTATTACCTGTATCCATGTATTGCCTTACTTGGATCTCATAAAGGCATTTTAAGAAAAAAATTTACAATGCCCACAGTGGATATCACTGTTACCTCATTAGCATTTATTAAAGTAAACAGAACAAATAGAAATATAGATAAGAGTGATTTCTTATCAGAAATTGAACAAAAACAAGATTTAATTAGGTGCTAGGTTTAACCAACTTAAAAACTAGTTTATTATTGAAATGCTTTGTCTTTATTAATGTGCAGTTAATTCTTGTTCTTGAGGTAGTTATGTTCATTTTTGAGTTAGCTAATACTGAACCATTACTCCTTGGAGAAACATAAGGTTAGGTTCCTGTAAGCCTTTGTTACAGTGTTTTTGTCAACTTATCAATACATAACCTTATTTTATGTGTGTTTCAGTTTAAAGACAACTTATTTAATATATATTGTTTATTCATTAACCGTGAATTTGCCTCCAACAGCACTATAACTTATGCCTAATTAAAGCTTATCTAACACACATATTTTCTCCATAAGGCACATCACAGCCTTCTTGTACCTGCAAAAATTATACAGCACGTTAGTCTTGTGTTCAGGTCCCTTTTAAACAGTGAATCACCAACAAAAAGCACAAACATGAAAAAAAGTAGCACTGAATAGACCACAAAAAGGATACTTGGTTATTATGAGAAGCTTCAAGAGAAGCAGTGTGTTAGTTCAACCTCAGCTGGGAATGTGTGCATTAAGCAACTCAGATTTTTTTCCACTTTCTGCTGTGAATGACTGTTAAAGTGCAGAGAGTATTGATTTTCGAGTAAAAATACATTTTTGTTAGTTGGTGAATTTGAAAATATGAAATCTGTGAATAATGAGGATCGATTTTTTAAAAAACTATTGAACTTCTTAATATTCAAATATCATCAATTTGTAAGTATTTGTGGCATGTTTTCCACCCAGGACTTAAAAAGGCAGTGTACTCTTTATGTAAGGACTTAAGTAGAAATGCGATTATATTTCTAAACCTGTTTTCTCCATGCATTAAACAGGAAGTAGACTTGATACGGAGTCAAGTACAGCAGCTTATCTCCCTTCCAATGTGGATGGGCTTACAGCCTGTAAGTGTCTAATTTCAGAATCTTATGTGTGTACATGTTTTAAGTGGAATGCAGTTTTAGACACTGTAGCTTTAACATGGATATAAAAGTGGTAGCTAAGCATCCCCTTTCCTGCTTGGAAAGGTTGCTATGCATTAGCTTATCATAGATATAGTTTTTACAGTTTTAAAGTGTTTATGTGCAACCTAATATGTGTTTCACCTAATTTCAGTATTGTTAGGTGAAATAAGATAATATCTATTGAGCTTGTAGAGAAAGGGGGTTAATTTAGCAAAGTATGGTTATTATCCTTGTGTGTGAGTTTGGATGAGACTACACGCAGACTTGAATTTTTTATTTCCCTTGACTGGAATGTATATACAACTGTAGGAATAGGTCTGGACCATGTTTAATATTAA